GCATCCTCTTTCTGTATGTTCATTCTTAATGACTTAAAACCTATTCCAAATTGGTTATTTTTACTGCGTTTCATTAGTGAATTTTTGCAAGTGGATTGTGGCGAAGCTCTTTTCTTGTCTTTAGAGTTTGATTCGTGTACCTTGTATAACTATTGAAATATTACAACTTCTTATTGAAGCAAGGAAACTAATTGGGTTGAATTAATGCATACAGGTTTCTAAGCTCGGTTTAATCTGTATTGAATGTGGGCTGTGTCATGTAGGATCCAACTTTCTTTTAAACATGCATTCTAAATTTATTGATAGATGCTAATGACCTGTTGTGCTCTTGCAACAATTTTATTCTTAGTATAGATTTCTACTAGCATTTCTCCCCACAAGATGCATGTTTTGAATTTTGAATCACCCTATTTTGTTTTGTAGTGTTTGAAGTTTATTGTTGTAAAGTAGCATATAATCTGCTCTATGATGCCTAATTCAAATCTGAGTAAATTTTTAGCAATTTCTAGAAAAACAGCCTTGGTGGTATCTAACCAAAATCCCAATGAAAAGGCACAGCAAAATAATTGGTGTCTAGTTGTTTTTTTACTAACTAATTAAGCCTTTATTTGCAGTTCCTTTATATTTTTGTTTGAAGTAGAAATTCCCAGAACATGCAGTGAATCTTTTCCACATGCACTCTTGTTTACAGTCTACAGCTGCAGATGCACTATCAAAATTTTATTACCCACCAGTTGCAGCAGTGTCCATTTCATACCCAAAAGAAGCAATTAGATCAGAACGCTTAATAGATGGTGAGCTCAAGGGGTTCGGTCAGCTGCATCCACGAAGCCAAGGGGTGGAAACTTTAGGTAAATATGTTTTAGTGTGAATTAAGTCATTTGCCATAGCTTCTCAAACTTGAAACTTTTTCTTGCACCTAGAAGTCACAATCCAAGTTTGAGAACATGACAAAATACTCCACCATAGTTTACCAAAAAGTTAATGTCAAATTTTGTTTGTGAATTTTTGTGGGTTCTGCAGGAACTATATATAGCTCATCTCTTTTTCCTAATCGAGCACCTACTGGAAGGATTTTGCTCTTGAACTACATTGGAGGAGCTACCAACCCTGGAATTGTGTCTAAGGTAAGGCAGTTAAAGAAACATTATATTTCTGTCATGAATGATCCTGGACACAAATCTGAGGGAAAATATTGTGGGGGGATTGGTGATAAATTATTAACCTCATATGCATGCAGTAGCTTTAGCTTGGCATTTTCCACAAGGATGTTTAGTTTGCTTAAATTAGTTGATATTTGGATTATGTGTAAGCCAATTTTATTTTAATGAGGTGCCGCATGATGTCTATTTTTTCCTTTTTCGACGGTGACAGATAATCACTTCCTCCCTCTGTTACTTTTCATATTTTTACTTACTTTTATTTGCAGACGGAGAGCAAACTTGTAGAAGCAGTTGATCGTGATTTGAGAAAGATGCTCATAAATCCTAATGCGACAGATCCACTTGTATTAGGGGTGAGAGTGTGGCCACAAGCCATTCCTCAGTTCTTGATTGGACATCTTGATATCCTAGATGCTGCAAGAGATGCTCTCAAGACTAAAGGGTTACGGGGGCTGTTTCTAGGGGGAAACTATGTATCTGGTGTTGCATTAGGCAGATGTGTAGAAGGTGCTTATGAGGTTGCCGCTGAGGTAACTGATTTCCTCTCCCTGTATACCTATAAATAGTCTTAGATGCTGGGTGATCATTGACGTTTAGTCAAGTTTTAAGTATCCTGTAGGAATGAGCAGATGAGTGATTTCTCTGCGGCTGTTAAATGAAGTTTTGAGTTGCTATGTTTAGGCCTTCTGTATGACTTTGTAATTCCGCAAAATCTTTATTAGGTTTATCGTTAGGAACAGTAGCAATAAAACTGTTCTTATTGCTACACGATGTTCAGAAGTATGGTTGCCACAGATTCTAAAGGATTGGGGAACAAATCTTCTTGTAGCCTCAGCTCTAACGGATTGCAACAGCAGTTCCACGGAGTTTAAACTTCAAACAGGCATTTCACCTACTAATGCGTGGAGGACCCGAAATTGGCAGCTTCTGGGCCCGAATAATGCGGTTTCTCCCAGACCTAAGTTGACCATGGTCTAAGCCCAAAATATTTTAAACTCAAATGAACTAGACACCTTTAAACCCATGCGTAGCTAATAATTCTGGAAACAGAAAAGGGGAAGGTGCTAACGGCCCAATGCCGCTGCTGATGGTCTCAGAGTCTGTCGATAACTCCATATCAACTAAAGCGATAGGCATAGGAATTTGAACACAATCTGATTATTGATTCTATTAAGTGTCACGTGCAGTGGAAAATTAGTCGCTACGTATTTTTCTGTTTTGAAATTGTCAAAGTGCATGTATTCGAGTTTATTTCCAAAAAGTAGGGCACTAAACGTTGATGAAGAGGAGAGTTGGGCATGTGCCTGGAACACTATAGGAGCACAAATGGTATAGGGTGCCGATTGTCTAGCCTTGGTAAACTGCCTCGGCGGCTATGCTTTTCCAAATGTATCGTATTTACAAACAAATCTAGTGAAAAGTCATGCTATTACAGTTGATTGGAGAAAAAGATCTGTAAAGCAGAGCTTAAAGAGGGGATCCTGCCCCACTTAGGGCCTGATCCTGGAGACATGCCTAAATGGAGAATTAAAGGCAATCTTAAGTTTGACTGAATAAAATTAACATTCCAAAGGCGCAGACATCATGATGGAACTGCATTGAGGCACACAGCTAGGTGAGGAGAGAAAAATGATAGGTTTTGATCTAAGAAAATCTTTAGACATTGAGGCTTCTAGAAAGAGGAGAAAGGTTCGTAGGTAAGGTCTTCTAGTTCAAACATTAATAGTAGTGTGTTAGAGACCAAAAAGTCTTTGGAGCAAGGAAAAGGTCTTATAATGTCCAATCGAAGCAACATTATGGTAGGGGTGGTGGGGGACATTTACTTTTTCTTTTCTCCCCCTTTGTTTTTTGTTTTAAATCCTAAGTTTGTTCTTTCTAGCCTCTGTCGTTCCTTTAGGTCCAAGCTAAGATTTCTTGTTCCCCTTCATGTTAAAGAACATTGAGTATAAATTTGAATTAGAAATAAGCATTCGACACATGGGTTTACACGTGAGGGAGAAAGAGAGATTGAATTGAATTAAATAGGAAATGAAGAATGCAATCACTGCTTTGTGTCTTTTCTTCCTTTTACACCTTTTTCTTGTGTTCCCAAATTGAGTTGATTACATGTCTCCAATTTAGGGTGACTGGATTTCCTGTTCCCTCGTTTATTTAATCAACAATGAATCCGTGAATTTGATAATAATTATCTTTGTTTCAAAAAAATTAAAAATTAAATTAATTATTTTTAAAATATTGATTATTATGAATATGAATATCTTTTGTTCATGTTTTTTTTTTAAATATTTTTTTTGAAAAAAAATTGTATTTGAATAATTTTTTATAAAATAAAATTTAATTAGAATTGTTTTTTAAAAATACACCACTTAAAGGTTTTTTTTTTTAAAAAAAAATAAAAAAGTAATACAATCTCTCGAAAAGAGGGAGTATAATTAATTAGTAGGCAACACTTGTCTGCCTTCTCACCATTAAGAACTTAATATGTGGCACGAGTATAAGGTAACCGATGATTAATTGGAAACAGAACTCTGGTTATGATACACGTATCTGCGTTAGATATATCTCTACCTTCCCATACATTACAGTTTTAAGTCTTTGCAGAACGTGCCGGAAAAGATTAAAAATCCATTAAAGGATGCCAGACCCAGGTAATTAATTAATTACGGGAAGAAAAAATTAATAAATTCTTTTAAAATGATATGCGAAACACTAGAGTCGATCCATTTTTTATATACAAGACATTCAAAGGTTTGATGTCTTTCATGCATGTTGAAGCATCCCCCGTGGTTCTTTTTTATGATTTATATATGGTAATACATCAAGTTGAAGCGTACTATCTTGTCACTGTATAGAACAACATATAGTCTCACCACGACCAATACCCTTAAATATGTAGGCCTTCATGCGCAGCTCGATAATCTAATCCATTGAACATTGGTATGAGATTGTGTGTTAGCTTCAGTTGTTTTTTTTTTTTTTTGTGAGGAGAAGGGTTTCGAATACCAACGCCCTTTGTATCCTATCAGAATATCTCTAACTTGTCTACATTCATCTCATCAACCATCCACAAGATAGAGTCAGTCTTGATCAACCATGCATGCATAATCATCTTTCCATTCTTCAACATTATAATTTTAGCGCAGTCATGATTAAGAGGCATTCCAATCTACATCACTAATTTACTTTAATTGTCTAGCCTGGGACACGATCACGTTCTTGACTTCTGCTTGTTAAGGGTACAATTAAACTATACGCTTATACTACACTAATTAACAATTTCTTAAAGAGAGAGATTGCAATACTACTCCTTTTCTCTCGTATTTATTGACTGATTAATCTAGATTAACAATGGCAAATAACTTTAAATAATCGACAGTGATTATCATTAGTACGTTCAATCAAAACTAAAATACTTTATTCATCACTCTCTAGGAGAATTGGATTCATCAAAGTCTCATATCCTCAGTTTCTTTTCCGTTTGTTCTTTTAAAGAGAGTATCTTTAAGATAAACACTAATTAATGAGTTTTCTGAAAATTTGAGCAAAGAGAGTACCACACCAGGCGTAAATAAAATAACAAACCTATATATTTAGAATTTCTTGCACATGAACCACATTCAATTTAAGATAAAGCAGAAATCATGACTCCTTATGAGTAGGCTCCAACTCGACACGTGTAGATGTCGGCTATCTTGACAGCATATCAAGGCCGTGAGTTGCATGAGGAAATGCCTTTCCCCACCAAATTAATTAATATTCATCAAAAAAATATTTCATGGTCTCTATACTATATATTTGAACCTAAGGTGGCGGCTTCTTCGGCTTCACATCTCCAAAATGGGCAGAGGAGGTACCTCTAGTTCTTCATCTTCTTTTGAAAGCAGCAATTACCCATCGGTATCAAGCAACTCTTCTAATTTCTCTCAGCTGAAGAGAGACCTGAGCACAGATCTAAGGCTTGGACTTAGCATCTCAACCTCTCAACAGGACAACCCTTCTACACCAAGGTACATATGTCTAATTAATTATTCAATAAACCAGTATCACTGCCCATTGATATATAGTCTGAATTTAAGTATTGTTTTTTTGGCGATCTCTTATGAATCAATTCAGTGATCAGCAACTATTGGATTGGCCACCAATCAAGCCGTTTCTAAGGGAGGCGTTAGCATCAGAAGAAAATGAGTGCAACAGTGCCACCTTCTTCGTCAAGGTTTACATGGAAGGCATTCCAATTGGCAGGAAACTGAACCTATTAGCCCATGAAGGTTACCAGGACTTAGTACAGACTCTTGACCAAATGTTCAACACTAGCATTCTCTGTTAAGTATCTTCTTTTTTTGTTGTTCCGTTTTCATTAGCAGTCGCAATTTTAATTTTATTTTTTTAATCTTAATCATGTAATAATAATTAACTTGAAAATGATTAAGCAGGGCCTGAAATGGATGTTGAAAATTCTGAGCAATGTCATGTTTTGACCTATGAAGACAAAGAAGGGGATTGGTTGATTGTTGGGGATGTTCCTTGGGAGTAAGTTACATTATTATTATTATTATTATTTTTAGTTTGTTAACATCAAGTAGCCACAAAAATATCCATGTTTACGACCTTTAAACATATTTATGCCTTAATGCTAATTTTTTTTCTTTTAATTTGTAGGATGTTCTTACCGTCCGTGCGGAGATTGAAGATCACTAGAGCAGACAGCCTGTGATTTGGGTTCGTGATCCTTATGCGATCTCTTTTTCTCCCTAGACACATACATATGGTGAATCGAAAAATAAATAAGTAGTGGATAGCTAGGTAACTCTGTATGAATATGTTGAGAATCAGGTATGTACATGTACTTCCTTGGGACAAATGATCATCGAACAAAAGTTTTGTCTTTTGATTGTAAATTAAAGATTTTCAGACTTTATGAGATTCGTTGTTTTTTTTTTTTTTTTTTGTGTCAAATCGATTCCAACTTAAGCAAGTTGTTAAGGCCCCTGGCAGCAGCGCGGGGGCATGATTTTAATAAACGACCTTAATAACAAGCATCAATGTAACTTTGGCGTCTTGTTGGACTACAACAAAACTTTCGCATCTTGCAGTTATGAAAATTGGCTTAATTTTATGGATGATGAAAATTTTTGAAAATACATCAATGTCTGAAGTTACGACAATGGCGATGTTATGTTATCTAAAACAAAGAATACATCAATTCAAATTACTCTAAGTTCAAAAGTAGTCCTGGGGGTGTTAAAATCTTTTCACTCACTGATGCGATACCTTCATTGTTAGTATTTATTATTATTATTATTATTTATTTATTTATTTTTTTGAGCATGTATTGTTGATTTTTTTATAGGATATATTGTTATTAAGTTGTATATTGCTTATCTTGATGCAATGTATGATGAGATACATGATTTTTTAATTTCTAACAAGGAACAACAATTTTATTGTAGAAGATTATCGAGTCTTAAATTTATTAGTCAACGATAATAGTCGGTTAAAGACTTAAAAATAATTTGATAGTATGCCCTAAACAAACAAAATCAAAATAGAAAAGTAACAAATCTTCCTTAAATCCGAAAATAATCTAAACTTAGATAGAAATAAGAAAAAAATAAATAGAAAAAGATATAATTTCTCAATAGCAGAAATCTGAAGCTTATTATGTGTTGTCTAGATCACAAAAGGATTCAAAAATAAATCTTTAAAGTAGATTTTAATCTCAAAAACAGTAGCTCATGCTGTGTGCTTTTGAATTATCTTTCCAAATTGATATTATTTATACCAATTGGACACTTAGATCAAAAGTTATGGTCTATTAAAAAAACCACTCAGATCAAAGGTTATTATTGTCCATTAAAAGATCAGTTCGAGCTTGTCCTTCCAAACTGTCTTGAATTTTTAGTTATGGATTTAGTCTATTAAATCATCAACTAGCTATCCCCTGTCTTATTATCAATTGTAACTTCAATGAGATAAAAAGCGAGTTAGTAATTAAATTATCTTACTGCATCTAGCGATATTGTTTAATACTATCAAATTTCTAGCGAAACGGGATATTGCATGATGAAATTTCTTTCATAGTTTGGCAGCACCCTTTGGAGGACTTGAAGCCTCTTCTTTGTGGTGATTAGTCTAGCCTGGCGTTGTTGCATTCTTAGTTGTGTTAAAATCCTTCTTTACCACTACATACATATACTATCAAATTAGTTCGTTATCTGCATTACATTATCGATGGAATAAACAAATAAAATCATTCAAAAAAGTTATATTTTAGTTTTAATTTAATGGCTTTCGTCATGTTATAATTCTATTAAAATATATCAAATCAAAAGTAAAAAAAATATTTTTCTCATCCAATGATATGATTATTTAATCTAAATTTTGTATTTAATTAATTGTTCCTTATATACTTTTTTTATACATGGATCTAGAATAAAAATTTATAATAGTTTAAAGAGAAAATTTGATCTAAAAAAATACCTTGATATTTTTTCATAAGATTGTATCAGAAAAAATTAAACAACAATTAATGTAAAAAATTATATAAAACTTAACAAATAATTTTTATTCTTCTTTAATGTTGATGAGAAGATTATTTTTTAAAAATATATACATTAGGTTTACAAATATTTATTCACTGAATAATTAATAATATTAGTATAATTAAAAACTATATTTCAATAGAGTGGTATCGTCGGATGATTTTTCTAAAATGTTATTTTAATTATTTTATTTGAGAGAAATCTATTTCAGAAAATCCAATAAATAAATAGTAAATAGTAGATATTTTGTATATATATCATAGTTAATTTTGAAAAAAAAAAACCAATTATTCAGTTTATACACACACATCATGATTATAATGAGTACGTTTAGATTCTGCAACATAGAGGAAAAAAAAATAAAAAACATACTTAATTTGCAAGGAATGTATTAAATAAAATTAAAGTTAATATACTGAAATAAAAATCACTATAAAATTAATTTTGATTGTATAAAGAAAAAGTAAATAAAATACTTGAATTCCATTTTTTTTCTTCTTTAAAAAGAAAAATTGTTTCCATACAGGCCTAATCGTTGGCCTTGCACATAAAGCAAATATTTCACTTTTTTTTTCCTTTTACTTTTAATTGTTAATTAATCATTTTAAAATTTATTTTCCAAAAAGTTGTGGCAAATTATCTACAACACACTTTAGTGTTTAGATTATATATATATAGAATCATGCTACTCTCATTTAAAATTATTAAATCCATAGATAAATTATATTAATTTATTTTTTTAAAAGCAAATAATCATGTTCATAAAAAAAATTATTTTATAAATCACATTTGTTAACAAATAAATTTTTTAAAAAATAAAAATAAAAAATTATTTGAATGAGAATTTTCATAAAAAAATGATAAATTAAAAAAATAAATTTTTAAAAATAATAGTAATATAATTTGAAATATTTATTAAGTCTATAATCTAGAGAACACACACACATATATATCTATATATATCTTGTCAAGTTATGTGGAAAATCCAAAAAATAATGAAAATAAATTACTCAAAAAAAGGCAAAAGCAAGCTAGGCTTGTGCCCTCGGACCTGAGAACTAGGCCCGTGCTTGCATAGATTGGAGATTTGCGAACCACTTCTATTTTTTTGTAATTTTCTTTTTAAAAAACGAGGACGCATCGGTCATGGCTTGCTTGGTAGACGACGCGTTGTTCGTTTGCAACTCAGTTCACTTGAAAAATTGTTGAAAAATCAAGAGTACCAGTTTTCAGCATTTGGAGCCCAGTTTTAGAGTCATTTGTGTCCCAAAACACTGCAAAACCATTGAAATAAGCTAACAAAGTCATTTGTAACCTTAAAACTCGCTTTTACACAAAAAAAAAAAATAGAAAAATCTAAATTAAATTAAAAAACTCAAAAGTATTTTGAATATCCATTCTATCTCTTTAGATTATTTTATAATTTGTGATCATCATAAGTAAACACTTCTCATCCAAAGAAACATATTAAAACCAAGATCGGCATACAAAGTGGTTGGGATGAGTTTTATCATGATTTTCTCTCTTCTCTCTATGTCTAAGGACCAAATCGAATTTTAAATGAATTTGAGAATTGAAATAATTTTTTTTTTAAATAAGAAATGAAAGTATAATATTTGTTATAAATCACATATTAAATAACTAAAAAAACCTTAAAAACTACAATAATGCTATTCATGAATAATCACTATAAGTCTAGATGAATCATTCGTGAGAGAGAATTTACTGTTCAGAAGACACCCAAATATTTTTATTTTTCATGCCTATGTATATAAAATGCTAGTTTGCCACTGCTTCATAAATCAAACCCAAGCTTATTCGGAGAATGGTCAAGTTTGGGCCCTTCTACTCAACCTGGGCTTGGAGAGGCTGCTGGTATGGTGAAGGGCAAGCACTCGGTGTGTTTAGTTCAAAATACAGTAACTTGGTTATGTTACTGAATTTTGGAACTAATGAAGTTCAAAATGGAACCAACTCACACCAGACTATGTACTCAAGTGAAGTGAATTTATTTGATAAAGTTTATTTCTTCTTAATCGGATTAATTCCACTCCGTTAGCTTTTTCTCCCCTCGTTTGGTCAATCTCTAAACTATTTAAATTCACTCATGCTAGTCCATTAACTTACTTTTCAGGAGAAATAACTATTTTCAGGAGAAATAGATAAAAAAAGAAAGAGAAAAAAATTTGAGTTAAAAGTGAAAGTTTTCTTATCATTTTTTATGGGTTTAGATATGATTCTATCATAATTTATTTTTTTTTTAATTTTTTCTCTCTTATTTATATCTCCTTTTTGTATTTATCTCTCTCTTAAAAAGTAAATTCATAAAATAACTATTATATATATGTACACTAAGTACTCTTTTAAGTATTATAAAATTTCTAAACTGTTTCTTATTTAAACGGAATTATATCTGCTAAGCTCTAGGTACGGTGGGAGTGGATTTCATCAGCGATTTAAGCACAGCTGCGGATGCATCCATGTTTATCCACTCGGGCTCAAAGCCCAACCTTCCATTTAAGTTGTCTTTTATTTCTTCTTTCTTTTGTTGTCTTTGAAAGGAAAGAATCCATCGATCCAAAATGGTTCTACGTAGGTCAGGTCCATGAGGCTGAGCCCAAATTTTATTAGTACGACCACACAACTGCTGTGGGAAAGTAAGACATTCAATACATAAAATTTCCTCCTGTCGATGAAAAACCTTACTCTATGTTAGACCATCATTTATTGGCAGTGGCAATTGTATTTTGAAAATTTTCTGTCTTGTGGAGAGCGCAAGATGTTATCCCGTAGGTCTATGAAAACCGTTAACTAATTCTTATAGAAATGATGATGTATTAGTTTTAGTGTCAATGGAATTAAATTTTCTTATGTATAAAAGAAATCAGTTTTGATAAACAAAATTTTTCCCTATCAGCTAAATTTCTTGGTCTGATAGACTATAAGTAATCTTTGGTTAAAATACAGTCAGTGCTAACTGCATATGACAAATGTATACAGGAGAAAACCTTCTCCTGGCCGGCTGGCCGGACACGGAGAATTATAGTCAGAAATTCAATTTCCGCACATTCATGCATCATAGATAATAAATGCCCTCTGTCGCATCCTCTTGGCCTCTCCTCCATCTTGATCATTTTTTAATGCACGTTCAAAGCAGTTCATGAGTTAAATTAACGATATTCTTCATAGAGTCTTCAAAATTAAGCCAAAGGGATCTCTTTCATTTGCATGATAATCATTTATTACAAAAACTAATCATAACAGCAAGCAACCACGACGGCATTCCACCGTCCTTAGATTAAACAAAGTACAATTAACCTGAAACAAAATTAAATTAAATATTTAGTTAAAAGGTTTCTGCTTTTCACAGTCTAAGTTAGATCCAGTACTAACATTGAACAATGTAGCATATCTCTGAAAAAACCCAATCCTATCATTAACTCTTCCATCATTAGGGATTCCACATTCAAGACCCCCATTGATAATGTTAGTCACCAACCCGTAGCCGGCCGTCCGATTAGCTGCAACATCAGCTGCTGTTGGTTTATATTTTCCAATCATGACGTTGTGGCAGGATGGTTTTGGGTTTTGTTCAGTCACCCAAAACCAAAGAGCTGTCTTGAACGCAATTAAGGAGTTGTTAGACACTATATCTGGGTTGTTAAGCCCATCAAATCCCAAAGCTCTGCCTGCTGGTCCATAATTGTAGTTCCTGCCACAAAATAAGTTTAATTTGCCTCGTTAATATATTGATATCAAATTGAAATCAGCATGAATTCTGAACGCAATCTTTGTGTTAGCTAGCGAGTAAATATTACCATGATAGTTGAATAGGTCCTCTTCCTTTGTAAGATTTGCCAGGGGAGCAGGGCCATTGAGTGTTGCTTGACTCACAGTAATTACTTTGCGGACTCACTTCTTCCTTGAAACACAAGCCCCATGCATATGGTCCATCCGGTGCGGTAGCCCACCCACCTGTGGTCTCATGGGATATTTGAGCAAGAAAAGCTGCAATTTCTCGCTTTCTCGTAACAGAACTACCTGTCCTGCCAAATTGAGGAAAACATCTTGATGCTTGAATGAAGGAATTGTACGTGTAAAAACCTTTAGCAGGGCATGCATTATCGTCCTTGTGTAGAAATATGGAATCAAAGAGCCCTTTACTAATTAAAGAAGAGATGTCATTGAATCTCCTAGCTTCAGCTTTATACGATCCAAACGAGAGGAAGATAGTGTAAAAAATGAACGACAAGAAAAAATGGGCAGAAGCTGCCATTTTGTCTTTGCTAAAATGGGGTTTGCATTTGATGCGTAAAGAGGCGAACGAGGCCTTCTTATATACGTTTAAATCATAGTCGAGTTTAGGTATTTTAGTTCAAAAAATTACATAAAGGAAGTCAGAGATCAAGATTTTGACTTGCTATACATGTGCCCATTATTGACTGGTTCAATTGGTATTCGCAGCTGACTAATTAGATACCACATTTTACCCATTATCGATCTCTATTCCCTGGTCTTTGCCAAAGTGGAAATGTCGACACCAAGCACATTAGTCTTTCGAGTTTTTGCTTATTATACTTTCTATTTTAATTTTTTGGCTATTGAAACCCTTGCCGCTCCAAGATGCCGTCCAATTACAGCGAATCGGTTAATACTTAATCATGTACGCTGATTTCTGACCAAGCAAGTTCTTCCCACAGGCCACACAACGATGCCGTCCACTTTAGGTTCAGAGGTCAAACAAAGAGCATGTGAGCTATTGTAAATGCCTAAATGGACCTCATTGGGTGCCTTAGCACCGTGCTCTCTAGGTATAACGTGACATGGGGGCCGGCCGAGCCAACGCACATTCAAATTCATAAAACCGCATTTCGCCTATGCGATGATGCACTAAGCAAAGACAACGGTTTTCTTAGTGAGTGGAGTTTTTTTAATCAAATCAGATTGAGATGGATCATGAACGCTTGCACATCTAAAGCATGAAAAATGCCGTCAGAAAGCATTTGAAAAGTTGGGTACGGAAGAAAATTCAATAGAAGGCTTTGATCCAGAGTGACGGTGATGGACAGTTATGGGCAACTAGCCCCCCTGGATTTCATAATGGGCTCAGACTTAGTTGGAACATGCATGGGCTGGATGGAGATGTCCATGATTTATCTTTTCATCCATGCATTTATTTTTCAGAAGGATGATTTTTATTTAAATTGAACTCAAAATAAAAGGTTATAATATAGTTCACCATGCTCTAATATTAATTCCGAATGGTGACATTTGCAAGGCAAGGCGGGGCTAGGGAGTGGGTTATTAGGAGTTGAAGACATAAGAAATATTATTTACTTATAGTTTATCATTAGACAAATATTTTGATATTTGTAAACCATACATATTGGAGTTAAATGTTCAAAAAATAAATAAACTTGATGTTTCAAAAACTAGGTTCGACATGTGCAAAGGGTATGTGTGCATCTCGTTCATTTGAACCAAAGCTGTTTAATTAGCTAGTGTAGTAGATTATATTATTATCGTTAGTTGTTATAGTAAGTGATTAGATTTTTTATACGTGTCTGTGTTGTGGGTTGAATAAAATACATAAAATCATTTTTATGATGTAAAAAAAGCTATGAACAGTTAAAGGAATAGCGAAATGTGAGTGTGTGAATAGTGAAATGTAATAAATTTAAAAAATAAAATTTAAATAATAAGAGTAATATAAAATGAAGTATATGTTAATTTTAAAAATATAAAAAGATATATACTTTTTTTTTTGTGTGAAAAAAATTGCAATTGATTTTTTAAAATTTTAACATCCAATTAAATAAAAAAGAACACAAATTGATGAAAAAAGCAAAGAAAAAATTATTTTTTCAAAATTTTAGCATCCAATCAAATAAAAAAGAATTTAAATTGATGGAAAAAAGCAAAGGAAAAAACCAAAGAAAAAAAGAAGAAAAGGCATGTGCAATGCATGAGTTAAGGGATTAAAATGTTTGTTTCAATTTTTTAGGGACCAAAATGAAATAATTTGAAAATTAAAAAAAAAAAAAAACTAATGAACAGTGTTTAACACTGTTCTTTCTACTCTTCATTTCATCGTTTTACTTTAGTATACTAGTAATTTCATCTACATAAATCGGATTCTTATCAATATTTTGAAAAAAAAAAATTGTTATGAGACAATGCACATTGAAAATAGGTATGACAATGGATAAGTAGTCGGTCCATTAATTTAATTTTTTATCCTACCTATCAAAAGAATACATTATCTATTACCTATTAAGAAATCACCATATAAATCCTTATCTAGTCCATATCTTGTCCAAAGCTGATTTACCCGCCCATTTAAAACCCATTAAATATTGCTAAAATTAATTTATCAAAAATATTCATTCTAGCCTTTATAATTTTTAAGAAAATTTTTTTTATTCTTAAAATTTATATATATATATATATATATATTGCATTTTGATCATTTATTTATAAGTTTTTTGGTCCTCAAAGTTTTTTTTAAAATATTTTGATCTTTAATTGTTAATGTTTATACAATTAGATCCCTGTATACTAAATAAAAAAATCTAAAATCTAAATATTCATTAGATATTTTTAATGGGTATTTATTAGGTTCAATAAAATGAGTATCTATTTTATAACTGATTCATTGTGATCCCTAATTGAAAGCAAAGAATATAAGAAAGACTATCTAAAATAAATAAAAACCCATTAAATATTGCTAAAATTAATTTATTAAAAATATTCATTTAGTCTTTATAATTTTTAAGAAAATTTTTTTGATCCTTAAATTTTTTTTATATATATTTTTTGCATTTTGATCATTTATTTATAAGTTTTTTTATCCTTAAAGTTTTTTTAAAAAATATTTTGATCTTTAATTGTTAATGTTTATACAATTAGATCCCTGTATACTAAATAAAAAAATCTAAAATCTAAATATTCATTAGATATTTTTAATGGGTATTTATTAGGTTCAATAAAATGAGTATGTATTTTATAACTGATTCATTGCGATCCCTAATTGAAAGTAAAGAATATAAGAAAGGCTATCTAAAATAAATAAAAAAGAAGAAGGGAAAGAAAAAGGAGTAGAGGCTAAGAAAACAATGCCATTTCTTTTAATAAAACACCCAAAATCTTTCGTTTAAAAATACAATGGACTTATTATAAAAAAATAAAAAATAAAATTCATTAATAAAAAATAAAATGCAATTACTTGTTAATATGTCTACAAGAAAGTCTATAATATTTTGGTAAATTTGATTCTCTATAAAAAAAAAAAAAAAAGTTTGAAAATTGCACTAGTACCATTATATTTGTTCAAGCCCAGCCCATTCCATAGAATTTTCACAAAGATTTTAGATCACTACCGACGGAACGACACAAAAAGCCCATCAATTAACGGGCCTAAAGAATGTTTATAAAAAGCAGAGGCCGTAAAGAACAGGTTATGCGAAGAGAGAGACGAAGTAGAGAAAGGTCTTCTCGCAGTGGTGCTCTTTGGAAAGAATCGGTATAAACTAAACGACGATGTGGGGGCACCTGTGTTGACAAGTTGGGGAATTAGAGAGGGCTGTTGTTATCATTGATCTCTACCATCAGGAAACCCCAACTTGGTCTCTTTGATTGAATTCAATAGAATAAAAGAGTAACGTGGGCGTTACAATGCCTTGTATGGGGTTCCTTCTTTCCCAATCCAAGACCATTCTTCAACCTATTTTCCAAGCCAAAACAACCCACCTCTCTGTGTTTATTGCTTAGCTTAATCACTTTCCATTTTCCACTACCAAACACTATTCTTCGGCCGTAGTTGCATTGCGTCTCATGCAAATTAAAAACCGGCCTAAAGGCTAAAAGCAAAGTCACTCAAGAAAGTTGGAGAAAATAAAGTAATTAATGGTTCTAGAAACTAATACTCCTGCCTTTCATCCTTTCCTTTTGAACAGATGTTACAAATCCCACAAGACCAGAAAAAGTTAATGCCGACTTTGTTTACATTTTCGGTAATAATGTTATGTGGCGCCTTTATATTCATAAATTAATCAAGGTTAGAGGGAAACTAAACACTTTAATTAATTATCATCTTTATGGTGGTCCCTAGGTTTATCAGAACGACATATAGGCCATCAAGATTCAAGGGAGTTAAGAGGACGTGTGACGTGATTGCTCAAACTATTACTTTTGTTGCTTGTTTTTTCATTTTTTCAATCTCTTTTTGTTATTTACCAGTATTTGATCTAAAAAAAATATTTAGATGGATGGAGATTGCAGCGACATAAAGTTGAACATTTTTCATTCCATTTTTAACCCAAACTATATATTTTGGAATTGTATATGTTTACTTTGGCTAACCAAGATTTTAAGCTTTTTTCTTTTCACAAAAATGATTTTGTTGAAATTTCATACATCCCAACAGTTAACATAAAACTTTTAAGTTATGGTTAGGGTTAGGGGTTGGTGGAGTCAACTCACTCAATTTCCCTTTCCACACACATAAATTAACTATGCAAAGGACAAAATAGGCCCATTGAAATTTAATCAAACAGCCAAGAAATTTAAGAGAGCCTTGTAGAAAGTCTACAACCTTGAAAATGAGAATACCACTTGACATCCTCTCCATCATCCCCTTCTCTCTCTTCCTAAGGTCGCTCCCTTTTCAAACTTCTTAAGAAGGGAAGGGTCCATTTGCTAGCTGATATCCCTTCAATTAGGCCCCGCTATAAATTGAACGTGACTTTGTAGGAAAAGATCACCACCCTATTCCCTATGAGGCATTAGCTATCAGGGAAAAAAAAAAAAAAAAGGAACAAAAAGGAGAACCAAGAGAAGCTAAAATGGAAAGAAACCGAAAAAAAAAAAAAAAAAAAAAAAAAAAAAAAAAAAGGGAAAAGGAAAAGCATCTCTTTGTCAGTTTCCATCACATAGGATGAGTTCCACACGCAATGGTATTTTCTTTTGTCTTTCCTCTTCCTATTACCTGGCTGATACAGAAGCCTTTTCCATTAAATAATTAAAGGCGTGTTATATGTAAATCCCTTTTTTCTTGAGTATACTCTTGTTAAAGCATTTGAACTCAAAAGAGGCAAACATATCACTAACATTTTCCTAAGATCAACGGACCTTATTTCCTATATCGAACACAATATATATATATATATATATATATATATATATATATATATATCAAATGTGAAGTCATAGTATGCTTAAATTGACTTTTAGGCATTAATTTAGAATAATTATGCTAGCCGTCATGAGGATGCCTTC